CATTCCTGCACAGAAATTGGGCCACTCTCCCACCAAGTGAGTCACCTCTGCCTCCTGAGATGGAATTAATTTCTTTTTTTGGCCTGGAAATTTAGTTTGGCTAGTGAGTAAAGTTCCTAAATACAAACTTCTGAGGAATTTCTAATTTTTTTGCAATATCTTCAGTTGCTATTTGAAACCCATGAAAAAAAAAACCACAAGTCTTCTAAGAACAAAAGTGCTCATTGGAGGATGTACATCTGTAACACCAGACTTGAAACAAGGAGCAGCAGGCAGACAGGTGTATTTAAAAGGGATATTTGAAAAAAAATAATCATGATGTACAATTACAAGTGTGTTCTAGCAAAGCAATACTCCCTGCAAAACAGCAATTAAAAGTAAATCTTGAATCTTCTTTAAACTGCAGTTATAAATTCACAGAATATTAGATGAGAAGGGTTCATGATGATAATCCACATCTCTAGTTCTGTCAGTTCATAGCACCCTTAAATCTGTAATGGAAGGAAAGCTCTTTAGACAAAAATCCTACAGCAGTGCAGATGCTTATTAACAAATAATCTTCCAACTCCACAAGAACCTCAGTGTTTGCATAACTGACAAGCAGAAGTTTCCAGGAGATTCCCACCAAGGCCTCCCAGAACCAAATGTCCAGTAGTGGATGCAGGAGTCCAGAAAAAGGCAAGGGTGTTAAAACAGTCTTTACCAGCTTTAAGTTTGAGAAATGCTGCTGCTATGTGGAGATATTTTAAATATAATGATTCCTCATTCTTTATTCGGCACAATACTGAGAATTAGCCAGATTCCAAGTGCTGTTTGCCTGCTTAAAGCTCTGAAACTTGGTCATTCGATAAAGCATACAATTTGGCAGAGTTACCGCATTAAATTAAATGACTTCCAACTTATATTCTTAAATCTAAAATGTTGTCGACTGAAAACATGTAACTATGCTTATGCAGCTTTTTCCTGTTTTAATAAAAATAATTCTCAATATTAATAAAAAGCAACTATATCATAGAGTCATAGAAAACCAGGAAGCTTTAAGTCCAACTTTTTGTGTCTGTTTTCTTTTACAAAAAACGAAACACTGTGGATTTTTTTTTTTTTTTTTTTTTTTTTTGGGTAACCAACTAAATATTTGGGAGCTCTGCAAGACAAATACAGGATTTTTCTAGAATTAAAAACCCAAACGCCCAGAATGTTATACATAATTACAGAAACCAAAATAATGTGCTCCAGACTACATATAAAAGCTGAATCAGTAATGTTGAAATGAGCTTACAGCATATCTTCTCAACACTTTATTTTTGTTTCCATGTACTTTATTGTTTATTTAAAAAAACAAAAAACAAAAAACAGCATTCTAGCAGGAATTAAACTGATCATGAAAACTATTTTAATTGAAATAGCTGGATTTAGTCAGCATGGATCAGAATTAAAAATGGATTATATGGACAACAAAAGCTCTTTTGCATCTTTGTCCTGAATAAATAAAATGTAAACATTTTCTTCTACAAAGTTTAATGTCAGAATTATTTGATTTCCTGAAAGGCTGGAAAACTGGAGTACAACCTTTCTCACCTCAGTTGAAAGAGTAATTTGTTAAACACTTCATAAAGCGTCTTCTGTCCCAATTCATCAAAGAATTTAAGGAACATTTGAGGGGCTTGTTTGGCTCTGTTTTAAAGACAAATTAAAATCTTCACTCTGAGTTGCAGCTAAACTGAATTAAAAAAAAAAAGTTATCTACATGATAATAAGTCCTTGAACTTTCAGGTAGAAGTTACAGTAATACACAATTACTACACAAATTACAGACATGCTACATGAGAAGAACCTGTTCTTTGCATTGAAGTAAAATTCAGCTTTTCTGACAGCTGCAAGCTCTCAGAGTCAACACCACCTTTCTCCTCTCTTTGCAGAACCAAGCGCTCTTGACTAGGTCTCACAAATATTTTAATGATACAGACAGTAATAGTTGTCTGATGGTCCCCTTAGAAGCCTTACAAAGCACAAATTCCATAGGTGGTACCCTACAAATAGTCACACTGGCATAAGTAAATAAATGTTGGAAAGTCTATGGAGGATCCCATTTAAAAATACCCATATTAGCAGCTTAATGGTTTAAATTTAACAGTTATGTTTTAAATTAGCAATAGTGACATTAATACTGATATAGATTCAGTACTTATAAATAAGAACTTCAGATACGTATATTCATGAATGGATCATGTTGCTGTCTTGCTGGTGGTAAAATATCTCAATGTGTAGGTCGGCAGACACAGTTTTAGTATTTGCCACAAAGTGCAAGTCAACTAATTTTTATTCTTCTAAAACGCCATTAAACTGCAGATGTTAAAAGGAAATAGTTAAATATAGAAACATTTCATGAACATAATTATACAAGAATTAAAATCTGTATATTTCAGGTCAAGTCAGTAAATGATAAACTTTTAGAAATGCTCTGTCAGCTGGCCAAGTTTTCATGATGCACACAGTAGTAAGACCTGTTCCCTAAGGAATTCCTGCTGCAAAATCTCCTCCTGCAAAATCTTTGTAACCATAGCTTGACCGCCACAGTTGCAACAGCTGTGGCTATAGACAGGTATTTCAGATAATTTATTTTCTTCTTTAAATACTGAAAGTCAAGAATGGTACAAAGAAACTGCTGCTAATTACTCTGTAAGCTTTGGCATTAGAATTTCATTGGACTTTCTGAAGTTTACAGCACAACTTGTAATAGTATTTCCCCTGGGATCAGTTGTTAGGCTAACGTGAAAACTATAGATTCTCTACATCTACTTGTTCTTGATGCCATAGAGGAAAAATCCATACAAACAAGAAAACCCTAATCTCAAATTTGATTAGAGAAATTGATTCTTTCTCCAGAAATGATAGCTTCTAGCTTAGCTGCAAACAAAACCATTTTGAATCATTCAATCCTTGGCTTATCCTAGATGTTCAAAAGAGAAGTATCTTTGGCCATAAAAGAACAAAAAAGCCCCAGTGCCTTAATTATTAATCACAGTCTATAGTTCATGTGTGCTTCCTGTAAGCAATAAAGTCCTCCCTGTGAGGAATTTCTAATATTTGTAATATTAATATTTGCTTTCATGAAAGTCTTGTAATCTTTATTTTCTTCTAATGCAGTATTTTCTCTTGTCCTCCTTCTGTTGGGTAACTGTACCTGAATTTCCTACAACCACCTGAAATGCTTCAGCAAGTTCAGATGTCAAACTCATTTTTTAATTTTTCCCAAAAAATTGCCAAGGGCCACAGAAAGTAAGTAAATATCACTGTCCTTCCTTTTGGAAGCAACACCAGAAAGGTGAACACACACGTTTGAGGCCAAGTCACCAACAGCACAGGGAGATAATTCAGGGCTTCGGGGCACGAGCACGCTGCCCTGTGCCTTAGGCATAGCATGGGCGCCTTCAGCCTGGGAGCACGGGGATGGATGGACACGTCGCGATAAGCTAAACAGAAGCCTGAACTCACAGTACTTGTGAGGCTGTTCGTATGACTTTTTACCTTGCTATATACCTTGACCGGTAGGTAGCTTATCCCTCGATGAAAACAGGCCTGGTCTGCTTTGTGCTTACCTCAGGGCAGGAGCAAGGACACAGGCACTAACCGTGGAGAAACTCACACGCTCTGAATGTACATCCCGCTTACCCCAGCGTCACTCCAGCCACGCCGTGCCGCTGCGCAGTGTTTCAGGCACCGCAGCGTTACGATACGAAGGAGTTTTGTACTCGGGTACTGACACTGTAGTCTAATAACAAAGCAACACACGTCCACATATGCACTAACAACAGTATTTTTAATAGATATATAGCATTTATTATGGAGAAGTGCTCAATGAGGGGAAGCAAAATCAGCAATGCAACTAACTTATCACTGAATTAAAAAAAGCGTCCGAAAGAAACTGGAACTGTACATCTTTGACACTCCTAAAAGCAAAGCATTTACACTCATGCTGTTGGTACAGGTGTATAAAAAGGATGTACATTTGCTTCCAAAAATAAATGTGATGTCCCACCACTCCTAAGATTTCTTGTATAGGTAAAAGTTTATTAAATATTTCATTCTTAATCCAAACACCAGTAATGTGACACTCTTGACTATACCTATCACTGACTTGGGCATCACAGACATCTCTTAATATTATCCATACATGTACAAACAAAAGCAGCATTCCT